GATTAGGGAGCATTCTAGAATTGCTTTGTGTGCAAGCCAAGCATTAGTTATTTGGTAGCTTTAGGATTTTATTGTTTTCTAGAGTTAGGATTTATTTTATTGCATAGAATAGGAGATCTAGATTTATTAGACTTAGATTTATTTTGCAACTATAAATACCCCATGTACCTCATCATATTTTATGTCTGGAATTGAGTATTGAATTGGTGAGCCAATTAAGAGGGGAACTTATGTTCTTACGTATGTTTAAACAAGGCCGTTAGTGCGTGTTTACATACAGTGTCGGAGAGAAGGCCATTAGAGCGTCTTGAAGTCACGGTATCTAGGAGAAGGCCGTAGTGCGTCTGTTAGATACACCTATCTTGGATAAACGAAGGCCCTGAGTGCGCCGTTTGTTCACACCCAACGTATAAATAACAACACTGATCAGCGGTCCTTCATCATTGGTGCTTTCATTGAGAGGTGCTGATCGTGTTTTTATTTATCCTATCTTATTCTTTTTTTCGGTTTTGCCTTTTGCTGAGGGGGCCGAATTTTTGTTCTTTTTTGGGTCGAAATTTTTGAATTTATTCGAATTTTTCATTTAAAAAAAAAGGTGTCATCTTGTTAGTCCTTTGTTTGATTTTTATTCGGTTATTACCTTTTGTTGAGGGGCCGAATTTCTCTTTGTTTCGATTTTTTGAGTCGTGTGGGGGTTCGAATTTTCGAATTTTTCCCAAATTATTTTCGAATTTTTATTTTAGAGTCAAAAAAAAAAAAATGTCTTACCCACCATTGGATGAGTTAGATTGAGAAGATCTAGAGATGTTGGAAGGATTAGAAAGAGAGCTCACACCTTGGGAGAAGACGTATCTGGACGAGCTCCATGAGCGGAGGAATATTGAAGAGTATGAACGTCAACTCATGGAAGCCCGAGAAGCGATGGTGATCGAGGCTCATGACCACGAAGATGAAGGTGCGCTTAATTTCTTAATCCTTGAGGACAAGGAAAGTCTTGAAGAGGAGGGGAAAGATACGGAAGTGGTCATCAACCCCGGTGAGTCCGACAATGATGATGGCGATGGTCTTGATATTTGGTTGGAAAATATGTTGGAAAAGCCATCTAGTCCTACTTACCGGCCATCATGTGTGAGGGATTGGCCGAAACGATGTGGTCCACGAGCTAAGCTAAAGCCTAAGAGGTGCAATACCAAACGAGCTCGAAGAAAACCCAAGGCGAAGACGAAGGAAGAGAAGTGTTGGTGTAAGCCATGTGCGAGAAAGAGACGAGCATGTAAGATGGAGGCTAGAAGGCGAGGTAAAAAAAGGATGGAAGATGGATGGTTAAGACGTGCCGGAGATTGCACGAACATGGAAGTGAAGTGCATTGAAGGATGGGACCCGTGGGAAGGCCCATGGTCATCGGGCGAGCATTCGAAGGAGATCGGTGAGCAGCGGGGATCGATCGGCGACGTGGAAGCGAGCACGAGCGGAGAGCGCGCATCGTTCCTTGATGCGCGCGAGATAGGCACGGTCGATGGAGGCAAGCAGATCACGGACGATTGCGCGAACGTAGGCGGTACGCGAAGGGTTACCGCGGGGCACGGCGAATGCGCTAGTGGCGCGAACGCGTACAATGGCCTAGGCCTAGTGGGCCTAGGATTGGCGGGAGCAGACGCGCGAGGAAAGGTCGGCAGGGACGAGGCGTGCTACGGGCGCGCGAGTATGGGTGACGCGGGAGGGAGCCGTGGCCTTGTGGGCATAGGAATACCGGGCGCGGGTGCACACGTGCAGGAAACGAACGACGAGGATGCGGAGCGCGCAGAGGCGCGCGAGTGGAGGAGCAGCGCGGGCGCACGCCTATGCGCGATAGGAGTAGGCGAGGAAGGCACGCACGTGCGGGAGTTAGG